AGCGCCAAGTAAACAATCATAATAGGGATAGACATAAGTTTGTGGGTATGTCGCACCTCACTAAGACTCTCCACATTGAACACGTGCGGTGCTAGTGGTCTGTCTTCGCACTGCGCACCCATCAACTCTGATTGCAATAGCCGCTACCGCTACCGCTGCCGCCACCACCACCGGCGCAATTCGAGTAAATGCTCGATGGAAAATCCGACGTCGGCGAGTGTGCGGTGCAAGCTTTGGTCCTGCGTGTGCAGAACGTCGGCGAGGCCGTCGTATGAATGGAACCTCGGTATCTAGGTCACGGTGTCGTCAATGGGCCGTCGCGTCGAAGGCCCCGCGCGGCCGTCTCTTGCGCCCTCATCCCGTCGCCTCGTGAAAGTTGCCGCGACTTTCGCGACCGACCGCCCGAGCCGCACAATATTTTACACTCTAACGCAACTAAACTAAGTCACAATTCGTGTAAATCCAGCGAACATTCACATCCGCTTCGACGTTTTATGCTCGTCTCCGACGTTGTCCACGAAGGCTCGATGGCAGAACTCTATTCTTGGAATCCATAAGGTTCATAACTGCGCTGCGATCGTAAATCGGGCGCGCGGTATGCTCGCGCTTAGGAATTCACTTCCGGGTAGGTCGGAAAGTGAAATGGACTCGTCAGTGATGTAATTGGAATTCGGATGTATCCGGAGTCAGCGTTACACCGTTCACTTATAAAGTTTCTATGCGAAACTGTTGACATAATAAGTTTACCGCTACAGCTTTTTCTGTACTGGAAATCAGTGCGCGCCGCTGCTTACATTTGTTCCTACCACTAATGTATATTTTATCCCCTTAATTTACTTCACTCACTCACTCTAACTTTAGGGTAGGCTCCGAGCACCTCGGTGGGGACATATAGTGAGCTGGTGATGATGATGATGATGAATATACTTCACTAAATTAAACGTGTTCCTTATATTTTGTATAATACAACACAACTTTAATCTATACTTCTATACTAATATAATAAAGCGTAAACACACACTACTTTGTGGCGTAGGATGTCAGAATATTTTTGAATAATTCTTTCTTTAATAAAAAGCCCTACACTTACGACACACTTTAGGCGATATAATTTTACGCTATTAAACTTGGGAGATAAATAAATTGGAAAAAGCCTTCATGTAGGAAAGGGACCATAAACTACAAGCTGCCAAAATTAAGGAAGCAAGGTTGCCATGGTTTGTCATGTCATGTCATGTTGACATTTGCAATAGATAATTTGACACTTGTAAACAATAAAATTAAATTTTTCATAATTTTATGCGGACAAAGTCGCACGGGAACTGTTAGTCATAAGATAATATACGTTTCAGTGAGTAATCAACTTGTGATAAGCTTTGATAGGTATTATATGTGTCAATAAGTTCGCACACTCCAATTGTAACATGATCGTGTTAGATGGTGGCTACCAAATTGGCTACGGAACATAATTACCCGTATACTATTCTCTCTTTGTAAGCAATGTTAACATACGAAAGTGTTATAAAAATATACAGAAGTTCATTACACAGTTAATGCTTCTAATATACAAAAAAGTTGTCGTGAATCGAGCAACATTTTTTGATTAACCAATTCATCCAATATCACAAATATGACAAACATCAAAATGTTCTGTACTCTTTCAATAAAATGTGACAGGTTATTTTGTTAAAAAACTTCATCGAGTACAATGTCCTTTAGCACTGTGAAACATCATTTTAACTAGTAGTCCATCTATTGCAGGATTAATATTGTAGGTCCTAAAAGAATAGTAAAGTATAGTTTTTCGATATATGTACGTCTAATTTGGTATTTCATCCTTATTTCGATAAAATTGGAAAGTGTCTAAAGAATGCGGCACCAACATGACGAGTAGACGCATCAAAAATCTCGAAACCACTTCTATAATCAATGTTATTAGTTATGGCGTTTTTAAATAAACTTAACGAATTTATTGCCACTATATGGTATTATGATAGAAGTTGAAAGCTTTCAAAGTTGCCGCCATATCGTAACGTGCATAAACCTACACCTAAATTCTAGTTTCAATATATCTATATTTTTGGGACAGTAAAAGCAATTATTCCTTCTCGTGTATTTATTGTATTGTTATTGGTAGATACTAAACTTTCATACTAAAAATAAATAAAGTACCTAATCTGTAATTCAAACTTATTATCTGTTGCAACGTTGCAATAAAATCAAGTAAATCGACTCCCAATCTAAGCATTTATGTTTCTGTGTTGACTGTTCATCATTTGAAACCGTATACCGTACAAAATATCACCCGATCGATATTTTAAATGATAGGTTTCGAATAAATAAACTTAAGAGCCCCATTATTTTCTATCAAACGACAGTTACGATTCAGCGTCGCGTTATCGATTGACATCGATGTTGTGCATCGATAAATCTTACACGATTGCGTCAACATATCGATAAAACTGCACTATATGTGTACGTGGATACGTAAGTTGATCAGCATCAATACTGTGTAATTTAGTCACGATTCTCGATGTTTATTGACTTTTGTAACCCAATCTTTACGAATGACTCGTTTAAATAGATCGATCTCTTTGTGAAGTTTAAGATATAGGTACTAAGATATATTTAGGAAATGTAGTTCAATCGTACAGTAATAATCAGTCAAGTGCCTATTCACCCTACTCTTAGGCTCTTCCTACACCGGGAAACATAAATCCTCGGAACTAATTATGTATACTAGCGCGTACTAGACACAAACAACATAGAATCGCGGACGCAAATCGTCTATTTTCTAAGTACAGACATACCTAATACGAATTTATAAAATGTAAACTGCATAGATGTACCTACCTAGTCCACCATCTTGAAAATCCCAGCAGTATCAGAAAAGCTTATGAGGATCTTGGTAAACATGTATATAGGTAGCGAGCAACTGGCTTTGGCTACGAAAGATCGGAATGTCTCCGACACGTAAATGTGTACGGGATTTCGTAATTCGTTTAGGGACTAATATCGCCGGGTTTCAAAGATTTACGTTGCCTTGTATACGAAGGGTCTTATAAGCAACCAAGTTAGGGAAATTAAGAATAGGTACTAGGAGAGAAACACATAATAAAAGAAAATTCGAAACTCTTTGCGTTTCGTTGATTTGTAATAACTGATTATCCCAAAAAAATGTGTTAGTTAGCTCGATTGATTGTCTTTAAACATAACTCCAATGTGTTATTAAACATTGGAGACAACTGTTATAAGTACATTTAAAACAGTAACATGTAAAATACGAAACTAAGGGCCTGTCCCACCAAACTATAGATTTCTGATAACAATCCAACTTGTAAAATGTGTGATGGAAAAATCGAATTTTGTTACCTTATCTGACTGAGACGTCATTTTTAAGCTATCTGAGCCTCTTATCAACCAGTGGTAGGACAGGCCCTAAATGTAGTGGTAAGAGTTGCATTTATATACGGTGCAACAGCTGCAACAGACGCCCCTTCCAAGTACAGTATAATTAATAATCGGTGGCCGCAACAACGGCTAACAGTATCGTAATTGCTTCAATTGGCTGCCTTTGTCAATCTGATTGTTCAGCACCACAATTAGTACATGCACTGTAATGTACAGCGTACTGTGTCAATGTGATATCGAAACAGTTCAGTTGAATTAGTCTTTTTGTCTAAGCGATGAGATAAGTGGGAAGATTAAAAAAAAATATGCTTATATCATGTAGTTAATGGAATCTGAGAACTCAAATTTCACATTCAAGAAACCAGACTTGTTTTAGTATAGTATACTAAATCATGTGGGAAACTTTCTGGCAAAGAATTAAAGATTGATGTGTTCAGTTGTTTAAAAATTAATCTAAATAACAATCAATCGCGTCAACAGTTTTTAAAGCTCAGTATTATGGTAACAAATAGCTGTTTCCAGGGCCACAGACTTCCTGCGGGTTCACTTTACTATAGTCTCTAGACCTGATCATCCTGCATGTGGTTGTGAAAACATTTATTGTGATTACCGATTTGATTGCTGTCAATGTAGATTTGTGGGTTATCCATTTAAGTTGTAGCTTACGAAACTTCGCACATAATCGCCAACTTGCCAATGCATGGCCATTTGTCACTTCACACACGTTTACATTCTCATGTTATTATAGTGATTGCTCGAGTCATATTTGAATTTTAAATGTAAATAAAACAATAAATTACTTTTAGTTAATAATATTTTATTTAATGTTTTTTTTACGGAATTACGGTTAACTGGTAAATTACAATGTCAAGTAGAGGACTAGTTAGCGCTTGATATAGATCGATTCCTTGAAAACATTGTGTTCTTTTCTAGTTACGTTCGCATCGCACTTCTTAAAAAGAGAAGAAAGAATATACTTTGTCGTCTTTGCTTTTGTTTTCAATTATTCTATGCAATTAAATTAGTCGTTTAAAAATATTAAAATAAAACCAAGTACTCCGCGTATCACTTTACTACAACATTCTTGGCAATGAATTTGGTATTTAGATTGTTCTAACTAATACTTTTCAGTTCAGTCGATGCCAACTAATGTGAGTGAACTTTGTAAGTCAACTGTTCCCATGCTTTGTACCTTCCTTAAAATTCGATGAAGGTCAAGACGAGCTTTTCATATTCCTAATCACTTCGTAATGTAAGTTATGACGCTGCGAGTATTATTATGCAAATGGTTCGCTATTATGTAAGGTGGTGGCGGCGACCTTTAGTAGGGACGGTTGCGTTTAACGGTGACGGAGGCTGTACAGTTAGCCGCATTCCTAGAGCGCGGGGGCGGGGGCGACAGGTGCCGAGCGGCTCGCGGGGACACCGCGCGTCCACTACACAAATGTCTTGCCGCATTTACCTCCCACATAGCTAGCTGTATTCCACTGTAAACGCTCTGAAGCTTTGGTCGCATACTTATGCCTTTGTTACGCGACTTAAGATTAGATTTATGTATGTGTTAACCTATGCCTTTCTTTTCTGTTTAGAAATTTGGCGCTCGGCATCGGGATTCAGAATTTCCCCGAGGGCCTCGCCGTCAGCTTGCCTCTCCAAGCCGCAGGGTTTTCAGTTTGGAGAGCTTTTTGGTAAGTCAATAACTATAAACATGTTGGCACCTACAAATGAGATTTACACGCGCCGAGGAGTCATTGCCTTAGAAAAATGCACGTGTCAAACGAGTATTCTTTTAGACAATTACATAAAGAACGTTCGCACAGTGACATAAGACGAGCGGAGAGCGGTGGCAGCGAGTGGTGGCGGCGGGCGGTGGCAGCTCGGTGGCCGGCTAGATGTTGAGAATGCGCGCGTGCGTCGTTAGGCCGGATGCCAACGCAACCAGACTGTGCGACCCCATTCCTCCTCACACTAATTCATTTAGCGACCGCCGCCGCCCGCCGTCGGAATCCAAACACTCTTATCACCATACTGATTTTTTAACATTTCTAAACACGCGTACATTATTTACGCGGGTTTTTTGATTTTGAAATTGATACATAACAAACATAGACCAAAAATGAATGCAATTACATTATTAGTTATTAAATGGTTGGTAGTAAAAGGTAGATTTAGTCTATAGAGTATTCTATCCAGAGCCCAAGGGGAAAAAAATTACAAAACCGAACAAGTTAGTAAATCTTTTGAGTTTAAATAAATGTCCAACTCTTTCTAGATGCTTAAATTTCAAATTTTCACAAATTACGAGAGGCCTTTTAGGACAGAGCACACGTGATACGTGCTCGCATTGCAAATGATAGCAAATAGGTAAAAGTTGTAAATAGTCGCATTCCGTTGGATTCTAGGAACCTCTGGCGCCGCCTGGCCGCCTAGCCACTAGCCGTCACTAAGTATCTATGTCTTGTTTACGAGTTATGATATCACGTTACATTGAAATATTTGCAAATTTTGGGCAAGATTTCTGGAATGTTCAGGTGTTAGTTCAATCCGTAACATTCTCGAAAAAAGAACATTAAGGGTTGCATCCGTATTCTATACAGAAGTTGACGCATATTCCCAACATGCGCACACGCAAGAATTATTTGTATGTAACATCGCTCGTCTATTTAGAGTATAGTTTAACTTTAGTGCAGAACTAAAACCGAAACTGATATAATTTGAGTGCAACGTGCGCGTCTAATAGGGCAAAGTATTCGCGGCGACGCTTCCTGGTCTCTAGGTGGAAACGGACAGGAATGCGCGGCCGCGGAACTCCCGGCGAGCGTCGACCCGCCGACCGCAGCGCACCCTCCCATACATTACCGCACAATTATCCGACAACTGCCCCTCGCACAATTATATGCATACTCGATTGTATGCAAAACTGTCAACCACTTAATTCAGATAGTTATCTTCAGAACCAATGACCGTAACTATAGTTGCAGGGTTTGGTTAAAAGAAAAATTTGCTATAGTATCTGTACTCGTACTATACATTCACTTAATGGGGTTTAAGACTTTTCTGTGAAATTAAAGCACAAGGTTTTGTCTAAGTTTTAAGCATCTCAAATTTGAATCTGTGTGGTTTCTGAGTATTGTACGACGGCCCAAATGACATAGGTATTTCGTTGATATGCCATCAAAACGTCATTGAACGACACAAAAATTTAACGTTAGAGGGAGGAGTGTGCTCTGAGTGCGAGAGTTAGCAGATAGGTCGCGGAGTGTTTGCGGAATGCGAGGAGCGAGGAATGCGGCCCCGGCAAGAAGCGGCGTCGCCTTCGCGCCCGTCGCGTGCCCCGCCGGCCCCGCCCGCCCCGCCCGCCCCGCCATCTCGCCAGCCCCGCCGGGGATCGCAGGACCCTCATCATCCTGCATGCCCCTTTTTACTCGATAATTACGATATACTCAAACCCGAAAGATTTCAACAATTAACTCTTTGAAGAGCACCTTTTGGTTTAAGTCATTTTAAATTATTTGACGTATTTAAAGCGGCCATTGCTGATAATTATGAAAAGACATCGTTAACATGGAGCGTTCTTTCGTAGTAATTATATTTGCCGGATAGTGATTTATGTATGTTCCTAATTACTCTTCTAATATTGGTATCTAGTGGCTAAATAATATTATGACCAAAGCTAATCCTCATAAGACGTGTTATGAATTAGGACGATATAAGGCGATGAATGGCTTCAATAGCTCCACAAGCTACCACTGATGTGCATGTTCCCACAGATATTCTCCTTAAGCCAGATTTCTCTAATATATTGTTCCTAACAAGAATGATTTCCCAACAGGTTGTAGGTAAGCCAAAAATGTGATATCTGAAAGCTATTTTTATTTCAAATCGATTAATATCAGCTAAAGCAGCGATTCCTATAGTCCACAGGTGATTCAACAAATATTACGGTCTGTGGGAATTTACAATCGCCCCTTACCACTCTGAGCTTCGGACACTATTAACCATTTTATTGAAATGATGCCGACTCACATATTCTATTTAGAAAATACCGATCTCTCACACTATCAATGCCACTACGACAAGGCTTCTATAATGGATAAATGAAGGTAACATTGTTTTTAGACGACTGCAAGCTTGTAAATTTAATGTGCTCTACTTGCGAAACTGGCATGAATAAAACGATCAAATAAATTAACGCAAGCCCGAATCTTATTATTATCTGTTTTAGATTAATAGGTAACTCTTAAATGTCAGTTTTTTTATGAATAAACCAATAAGACTTAATAGAAGGCTGACTCGAAATAGGTATTTGGCACAAGGCATGGTCGCTAATAAGTTTCTTGTTGCTATATGTATTAAAGTCTTTGCAAGTTTTTTGTTTCGTGCTATGACATAATCAAATTAACCAGTGCGGTGATCCATTGTTGCTGAGACTCAGCCTGCGGTGAACGTTCCCGTAGGCCGCTGCGCCCGCCGCCTGCCGTCACC